TAAGAAAGGTGAAGAATTCTTTAGTTTGGTTTCTCACTCAGCCAGGACACCTAAAATAGCTCATAATTCTGTTATTCTTCTTGGACGCCGTTGAGTTGTTGGGTTGGTTCAAACTCATAGACTCTCCATCTACAACAGAGGAAGCATAACTGGCCCAGTGCCCTACTCACAGTTGTTAGGCTTGAGACCTGTCTGGGAGCCACTGTGCTGACCCATCTTCTTGAGAGTCTTCCTCTTTTGTATTACCTCTACTTTACATAGCAAGGTGACCTTTTGCAGAACCCGGTCTCACCTGATAACAATAAACTCCAAAACCAAATTCACCGCCTTTGAGTCACTACTGCCTGACAGTGATCCCTGGTGGGTTTCTGAGCCGGTTACTGTTCACAGGAATAGAAGGCCCAGTCTTTCTCTAGAGGAGCTGCTGGTGGTTTTGAACTGCCGACCATGCTGATTGTAGCCCAACGTGTCACCACTACACCACCAGGGGTCCTGATTAGGGTCTTTTAAATCTTCTAATTTCGTTGTCTTTTTAAATCTGGTGTGCTTGGTAGTGTTGTAAAGCCAATGGCATTCCTAAATAAATAATATTTTGTTAATATTCTCATAAAATAGTCATTAATGATAAGCTAATAATAGACAGACCAAAGTCATTAGCAATCATAACAGAAGGTATCACATTGCCTGGGCTCAAATAACAAAATATATAATAATATAAAAAAATATATTTATATTTTGTTTCAACAGTTTCATGAATCTATTATATAAATATATATTTTTTTTTACGGGAGAAAAAACTATTGTCATATGTACATTTTATAATCTATAGGATGGTGTTCAAGTAAATCTCTGGAGTATTTTGCCTTTATAGATTATAATTATAATGTAATATATAGTTTAATATATATAATATATAGTTAATTCACTAGGTTAATTCAATCTGTGTAAGCAAAGCAAATAATATTATTGTGAGGTTTTACAAAACTACTATGGCTTATATTGACAGTCTTTGCTTTGCAAAAACACTGTAGATAGCTTTGAGCTTTGCCTTTTTGCAACCCAAAATAAACAAAACAATCAAAAAAGCAAGACAAAATAAAATAAAGCCAAACTCACTGTCATGGAATCGATTCCTATGCAGAGCACAAAATACAACTGCCAATGTGGGTTGCTGTGCCACTGACTCATCTGACTGTAAGCGAGCCACCCTGTGTACGAGCCACCCTGTGTACGGGAGAACCACATCTGGCCACGCGCCATCCGCGCACGATGGCTCCTGTGCTTGAGCTCATTGCTGCAGCCATTGTGGCGGCTCACCTCACTGATGGTCTTCCTCTTGCCTGTTGCCTCGCTACTTTACAAAAGATGATGTCAGTCTCTGGGTACTGGTTTCTCTTGACAACATATCTAAAGTCGCACCATCCTTGTCTCCGAGGAGCATTCTGGTTGTATTTCTTCAAAGACAGATTTGTTTGTTTTCTTGAGAGTCCATGGTACTTTCAATATTCTTCACCAGCACCACAATTCAAGCACATTCATTCTATTTCTGTTACATAGAGGCAATTGAAAATAACATGGCTGGGGTCACGTGCACCTTAGTCCTCAAAGTTAGCAGCCTTGAAGTGCATTACTCTAAAGAGGTCTTGTGTGTTAGATTTAGCCAATTCAAGGCACCCTTTTGTCCCTTGACTATTGCTTCCCAAAGCATTCATTGTCAAACCAAACAAGACACATTGTTGACAGTGTCAATGTTTTCTCCATTTATTATAATATTACCCATTGGTCCGGTTCTGAGAATTTTGCTCTTCTTTATTTGAGGTATAATCCAAACTGAAGGCTGAAATCCTTGATCTTCATCAGCAAGTGCTTCAAATCCTCCTCACTCTCAGCAAGCAAAATTATGTATCTGCATATTGCAGATTGTTAATAAGGCTTCCTCCAATCCTGATGCTGCACTCATCTTCATATAATCTAACTTCTCTAATTATTTGCTCAATATATAGATTGAAGCATATATTTCCTGAGTTTGATCTATGCACTATTCCCTTTTTCACTTTGCATAAGTCCCTTTTGATCCATGAGCACAATGATGTGCTCTGGAATTCCCATTCTTCTCCAGGCTGTGCATGTTTGTCATGATGCACACCGTCAAATGCCTTGGCATAGTCAAGAAAACATGAGTAGACTTCCGGCGCCGGCGTCCGGCGCTTGCCCGGGTCGGGATGGCGGCTCTGAGGAGTTGGCTGTCCCGGAGCGTCGCCTCCTTCCTCAGGTACAGACAGCGCGTGCCTGTTGCGGCCAATTTGAAGAAGCGCTGTTTCTCGGAGCTGATTCGACCTTGGCACAAAACGGTGGCCGTCGGATTGGGTGTGACCTTGTGTGCGGTCCCTATTGCACAGAAATCGGAGCCGCATTCTCTCAGTAATGAGGCCTTAATGAGAAGGGCAGTGTCTTTGGTAACAGACAGCACCTCAACCTTTCTCTCGCAGACCACATATGCACTGATTGAAGCCATCACCGAGTACACAAAGGCTGTTTATACCTTAATTTCACTGTACCGACAATACACCAATTTACTGGGGAAAATGAACTCACAGGAGGAAGATGAAGTGTGGCAGGTGATCATAGGAGCCCGGGTTGAGATGACTTCAAAACAACAAGAATACCTTAAGTTGGAAACAACTTGGATGACTGCAGTTGGGCTATCAGAGATGGCAGCCGAAGCTGCGTACCAATCTGGAGCAGACCAGGCCTCCATCACAGCCCGGAACCACATCCAGCTGGTGAAGTCACAGGTGCAGGAGGTGCGCCAGCTCTCCCAGAAGGCAGAGACCAAGCTGGCGGAGGCACAGACCGAGGAGCTGCGGCAGAAAGGCCAGGAGGCAGGGGGTGGTGAGGTGGTGGAGCCGGAGCCTGAGGCCTACCTGCGCGAGGACTGAGGGCGCTGCCAACACCACTGCAGAGCGTCTGTTGCCTGAGCGAAGCCGGGCTGAGTCAGCTGTTGGAGAGAAGCCTCAGTGCCAGCCCCTCCCCTGGGGTCTCCAGCCCATCTGCCCCTGGTTCACATTTCACCCCATTCAACTGCCCTGGCTCCGGAAAGCATCTCGCCAACCTGGCCACCAGTTTAGTAGCCATTTAACCTGTTTTCAATCTTTTTTTTTTTTTTTTTAATCAATTTATTGGGGCTCATACAATTCGTCACAATACATAGATCAATTGTGTAAAGCACATCTAATCTTATTTGCGTTTTCAAATATGATTTAGTAGCTGCTCCTCCAAAGGGCTGTGAATGGGGGAAGTGAAGTGTTTCTAAGGCCACCTTTGATTAGGCCCCACTGCCCCAAAGACAGTTCAGAGCAGCAGTGGCCTGTGCTGTGGACCTAGCGCTCCCACAGGACCCAGGCCACCACCTGCCTTTTCAAGTCTGTTGTATCCAAGGGAAAGAATTTTTTTGCATTTGAAAAAAAAAAGAAAAGAAAACACGAGTAAACATCTTTCTGGTATTCTCTGTTAATATGAATAGAAATAGTGCGGCTGGGCGTTTTCACCTGCTGCCTTTGTCTTTAGCATTCTCATGTGTAATCCACTACATCACCAGGGTTCCAACTGCTTGCTAGGGATTTTGGTTTGGAAACCTTTTTGGCATCTTAAACCTAATTCCCAACAAATATAACCTTTTCTTCCAATCACTTTTCTATCCTACATGTTATAACCTTTTCAAAACCAAGCAAGAATCTCAGGAGCCAATTTTCGGATATTCATTGGATTTACATTCTAAATTCAATTGCACAATTACATGGTCATGTTATGACCACTGAAATTCTACCCAATGACAAATCTATGCCCAAACAGTGCTTCCTTTGTTAAAACATCTCCCACTTTTAAATGCAGAAATAATCCAATCTCTGCTGTTTACAAAACTCCACTGAAGAGCGTATCACATATTGCAATATTTTGAGCTCATTAGCTCTTTATTCCATGTATTGTTTCTGTGTTCATGTCACTCCAAAATTTAGTGTAAATTAACAAATGATCTTATTTGTTCATGATGGAGTGGGCTTAGATTTTAGGACGTGTTGGCTGGAAATTCTTCCTCAAGTTTCCCATGCACTTGCTGTCAAACATGGGCTTGGATTTTAGTCATCTTAAGTCAATCTCTGCTTTTCCAAAATGACTCACTCAGAAAGCTAGAAGTTGTTGGCTAGGAACTCAGCTGGGCTGTTGGCTGGCTGCCTTCACATGGCCCCTCCTGCATGGTAGTGTCATGTGGACACCTAATCAGCCACTGACGTGTCCAAAGCCAGTGTCCATAGAGAAGCTGATAGCTGCCAGCTACCACATGGCCTTTTCTGATTTAGCCTTGGAAATCACAGCAGAACTTCTAGTGCATTCTAATGGTTAAAAGTGACTCATACTGTCAAACCATGTGATCTATCTAATTCTTAACTGTTGATCTAAGTCTTTAAAAAAAAAAATCCCCAATTCTGTCTTGGTACCACCTGCTTAAATTCCATCATCCAGCTACAGAAGCTAATATATGTGGTGGACTTCAGAGACATCGGTTCAAACTCCAGGTCTTGTACTGAAACGCTTCAAGAGTTTGGAACAGTTAATCCATATTTATGGAAAGCAAGAATAATAACAGGATTTATCTATATGTATTATAAGATATAAGTAACAAAACAGCAGAGAATATTGTCTGGCAACCAGTGAAGAAGGTATTAATTAGTACTATTGTTATCATATCTTCTGTCTCCAAAGCTCATAGCATTTTATTTGTACACATTTCTTGCACCCTTCATAATTTTCCCCTTGTGAAAATAATGTTTGGACTTATTTTATATTTCTGCATATTTAATTCAGTGCCTTACATGCAGCCTATCTCAATAATCATCTTTTTAATATCAACTCAGGCTCTCAGTAAACAAAGCATGTGCACAAAGTTAATTTTGTTTTCTAATACTGCTTGTAACCTTACCTAATCATGAGTTCTCTTGCAGAAATTAGAAAAGAAAAATCTGAGAAGACATCTTCCGCGCTGAAGGATAAAGGTAATAGAGCCAAATTAAATATAATGGTACAAAGTTATTAGCAAAATTATCTGAAAAAGTGCCTCATACATTGCAGATGTTTCCCTTGTAGATGTATGGGCCAAAATTGTATAGGTTGCACTCATGATTTTGAAAACTTGTATTTTGTTCTTTCTTTTTTTTTTTTGGCTTTGCCTGTTGGGTTTTAAAAAAAATCATTTTATTAGGGGCTTATGCAACTCTAATAACAATCCATACATACATCAATTGTATAAAACACAGTTGTACATTCATTACCCTCATCATTTTCAAAACATTTGCTCTCCACTTAAGCCCCTGACATCAGCTCCTCATTTCCTCCTCCCTCCCCGCTCACCTCAAGCTCATGAACCCTTTATAAATTATTATTTTGTCATAACTTACACTGTCCGACGTCTCCCTTCACCCACTTTTCTGTTGTCCGTCTCCCAGGGAGGAGGTTATATGTAGATCTTTGTAATCGGTTTCCCCTCTCTACCCCACCTTCCCTCCACCCTCCCTGTGTTGCCAGTCTCACCACTGGTCCTGAAGGGATCATCCGTCCTGGATTTCCTGTGTTTCCAGGTCCTATCTGTACCAGTGTACATCCTCTGGTCTAGCAGGATTTGTAAGGTAGAATTGGGATCATGGTAGTTGGGGGAGGGAGGGAGGAAGCATTTAGGAACTAGAGGAAAGTTGTATGTTCCATCGTTGCTACATTGCATCCTGACCGGCTCGTCTCCTACCCGAGACCCTTCTGTAAGGGTTGTCTAGTTGCCTACAGATGGGCTATGGGTCCCCACTCTGCACTCACCCTCATTCACAATGATTTATTTCTTGTTTATGTTTTTTTCCTTTATTTTGAACAAAAATGTACACTGATTACAATTAATCAGTGTACGCGTGTAAAAAATTGAATTGGCAAGCCTTATGTGATCAATGTACTTACAATAATGAAAAGAAAAAAAGTATTTGTTGAGGTTGGTTAAGGGATTTGGGTCTTTGGATTAGAGGTTTAGGTCCATGATTACATAGCTACATGGGACAACAAAGCACACTATCTGGTTTCAGAGGAAGAGGAGTCAAGAATGGGAGGATGAAATGGCATGTGTCCTTTATTGCCTCAATGAACGATTACCTGCTTTGCCAAGGGACCACAAGAGTTGGCTGGTTCCTAGCTACCATTGCTGAGCATTTTGATCAAATATTTTATATTATCATTCTAAACAAAGAGGAATAAAATATAATTTCAAAATCTGATCAACTCCAAATCATCTTCCATACTTGAAATCACTGCTTTGAGAAAAAATTTATACCTTAATCCAAAAAAATCTCCCCAAAGTCTTCTTTAAAACAAACAATAGTTTAGCACACCCAGTGGGGAAAAGAAAGTCTGCATCGAACGGTATGCTATTTTATAAACTATCCATATGGGATCAGCACTGGAAAGTTCAGACAAAACCTTAAGGAGCATTATATCTGTATTCATGGGGAACTAAAAACTCAGAAGAGGAGGGTGAAGTGGTTGCACAAGTCCAAAAATATAATCAATGTCACAAAATTACTCATGTGGAAATGAGAGAGAGAGTGTATATTGTGGTGTATGCATTCTCAACAACAACCTATTAAGAAGATGGTGAAGCATGACAACCGGGCGTTTTTTATTTTTCTGTGGGCCAATCAGTAGCACATTGAATAACTATTTATTGTACATCCAGTATAAAGTAATCAGAACAGATATTTACAACACTGAGACTACAAGGAAGGGATGATCGATGTGGTCATGGAACGTACAGTGGAAATTGCATAATTAATTAAAAGGACAAGAACTATAAGAGAGATATACAAGGTACTGTAAGACCCTTGAGTTGAATCCTACTCATAGCAACCCTGTGACTTGCTGCTCCAAAAGATTTCTGAGGTTTACAACCATCCTGCAAGTAGGACTGCCACATCTCTCTCCCACAGAGCAGTCTGGTGGGTTCAGAGTGCTGCCACTTCCGTTCGCAGTGAGTGCTGAAGTACTGCTGCACCAGGGCCCTTCAAGGTCGGAGAGAATGCCTTCCGGTGTGTGGAAACCAGAGAAATTTCCTGACAGTGTTTTATTAGGCTGAGTGAGAAGGATGCGAAGTTAGCCCAGCAAAGGTATGGGCGACGGTTTGGGAGAAGTCCAGAGGCAGCTCAGGACGTCCTTGCCAGGGCGTCTGCACTTTGCACACCTTACTGAAGGTAGAAGCTGAGGTATGCACAAAGTATGCTACTTAGTGGCACACTTTGCATCTAAGGTAATGTTGAGGGGCCAAGTCAGAAATGGCCAACTTTATCTTTTCATTTCCTTAGGAGAGACTTATTCATAAGGTGCAGATATTCTTCAGAGCACTTGTGAATTGTAAGCTCATGGCATGAGCTTGGAAAATCATTTTGATCTAGATGTATTAGGTATGCAGTATGGAAAAATAGCTTTGACTCATTTTTTATTATGATAACTCAATTTCCACAGAGGAGGTAAACCTATTTTTCTCCACTAATTGCCTATACTTTGGGAAAGACCCTGTCCCATCCTCCATTCTCATTTTATCTGCATTCTTGGTTATGTGTGATCCAAAGAATTTGTGAAAACAAATTAGCATGAATATTCATACATCTGTATTTGCTAACACAATTGGAAAAATTGAAACCTTCCACCCTTTTCATAATATATTTTAATATAATTATTAGCCATATACTGTGGAATTCATTTATTTGCCCCTCACTAATGTCGGAGGAATATTTGCATTATATATTATAATTTGAGGAGCCCTACTAGCACTGTGGTTAAGCATTCATCTGCTCCTGGAAAGGTTCAAACATATCCAGAGACTTTGGGGCAGAGAGATTTGGAGATAAAGCTTGTGTAAAGATTATATTCTAGGGAATACTGTGGAGCAGTTTTACAAAAACCCTTGATAAAAATGCCTTAGACAGTTCATCCTCCCCTACAATTAAATCATTGCTTTTCATACTGAATACAAAGCAAATGTTGTGTAAATAATACCTCATACTTCCTCTTAGCTTCTGAGAGATTGCTGTGGCCACTGAATAGGTGGAGTTTCTTTTCTGAATATTTCCAAAGGTGGGTGGTTGAACCTACCTGCAGATGTGAAACCTTGGATACAGAGGACTAACTGTACTATAAAAGTAGTTTTGTTTTTTTTAAAGTTGCAGTTTTCCTCCAAACCCACCTGTCCCCACCCCAAACCAACTGCCAGAGGCTTGACTCTGATTCATAGGGGCCCTGCATAGGCTTATGAGATTGTAACTCTTGACAAGAACAAAGAGCCTCAACCTTTCTCTCACAGACTGGCTAGGGTGTTTGGAGAACTGACCTTGCTAAGTTAGTGGCCCCGTGCTTCTCCTCCAGCTCTCCTTTTGGCAATGATAATGATCACAAACTCTACCACTTCAAGACTCCATTTGTGCCAAAGCTTAAACTCCAACTCCTTGCCAGAGTCAATTCCAACTCACATGGACCGCTTAGGACTTGGTAGAACTTCCCAGAGGAATTTGCAAAGCTACAACTCTCTACAGGAACAGAAAGCCTTGCTTATTTGCCACAGAGTGGCTGGTGGTTTGCGAGTGCTGACTTGCAGTTAGCAGTGCAACTCCTAGAACTATGCCATCAGGGAAATTAAAGATCACCTGTGGTGCTGAACTCGACATCGAGAATGTCCCTAAGTAGTTTCCTCTCCCATCCCTTACTGTTATTAAGGTGCCTTGCAGGCAATTTCCTGGTCAACCATTTTTCCTCAATGTGAAATGTCCTATTAGCAAGGTGATTCCACGTACACTAGAAACCCATGCAAATAAAGAAAGGTCCTCTGCATATGATTTTTGACTTAGGATTATTTAAAGTGCAACTCTTTATAAAAATTCAAGCTGAGATAATGTCAAATAAATTTGTTATGTCTAAGCTGGGTGAAATTTTAAAGGAAGTGTATTGGTACCATTTGTCTATTTTATGAATACAATTAACCATTACTAAAAAGCAACAGACACCCCCCCCCCCACCCGTATGTCCTATAGAAGTTTAGGGACTTTAAAAATGTCGGCGGGGTTATTGTTTCTGGAGAGCGTCTCTGAAACCTGTTGTCGTGCTGGGGGAGAAAGGGTATTCAACAATTTCAACTGCTTAGAAGCCATTACTGGACTGAAACCGCTTTATTATGTGAGCTCCTTTCCTTCCGTAGCTAAGAAATTGCCAGTCTCTCATAAATCGCTCTAGTATGCACACCCACGAGCCCAGATTGAAGTAAAATACCACCCTCATAAAAGTAACATTATTACAAAGAAATTATTTCAGGCTAGATTTACCTAGAATAAGTAATAATCATGAGTAAATCAGGCATTTAGCGAAACATTCGATTTACATCTTTGTAGAAGGCTACAGAAGCCCTAGCGACAATTGCCCAAAGAAGGGGACAGGAGAAAGAGAAATCTGGCTTGCTTTTATCCGTGGTTTAGCTTTTGTACTGCCTGGTCTCATGGACCCACTTGCATCCAGTGAATGGATACACAAGGTCATAATATTGCTCATGTGGCCGTAAACCCTCAGAAATCAGAAAATTTGGTGTAATCACCCTAGTGTTGACTGAATTCTTGTAATGCCCCTTCTTGCCCTCATTGTCTGTTACTTCTAACCCTGGATCTGATCTATCTGAAGGTGGGAGCTACACTCACGGGAACTAAGAAACTGTAAACCACTCATACTCTGCTGTTAAGAGATTAACTAATGTCTCTTGAGGTTACTCTGTTATTAAAATAGCCCTGAGGAGCCACCAGAATTGTTGCATCCTCTTGGGATCCAGATCTGTGTATGTCCGTATCTACCAGAGGATTCTTGCCCCATTTCAGAATCGGTCCATGTCTTGACGTCACCCTGATCCCGATGAGTCCTCAGATTCTATGTCTCCTTCATTCATGTTTTTTAGCCCTTCCCACTCACCCAGATAGAGCTGACCCAAAGGATGGGGAAAGTTATGTGAGGCCCCGTGACTGTCCCCGGTGATGCTGTATAAATCAAGGTATCTCATCCCAGAGTTTCCCACCCTTGTCTTTGTGGGTAGTGGACAGGGAATGGAAAGCCTCCACCCATGTTCTCATTCCACTTTGAACTTTTCCTCCATCTCAGTTTCCTTACCCTGATTATGTTTTACAGAGTTTCAGCTTACAACCAGACATTAGTCAATGCTTGTGAGGCCCTGCTTATCAAGATGTGCAAACCCCCCAGTAGGATCTTGGATAAATGCAAAAAACCTACTATATAAGTTTTATCAAATGTTCTCCAATCTTCTGCTACTGGAAAATAAGACAGATGAATTGAAAAGGGCCATAAGAGTTCACCCAAACCACTGATGTGATGTTTTTCTTTCCTATGACAAGTGCAAGAAATCTGTATAACACCTGCTCCACATTGTTTTAGGGGAGGGGTCAGATTTAATGTCCCTCTCACTTCGTTTCACAGTTCAACAACAGGCAGGCTTCAGATGGCAGCTCAAAATTGCTTGAGATAAAAATGAAACCGAGGGGGTTCTGCTTTTCAGGAGTGTTAGTGCAGGTGAAGACTCAGACTGGCAGCAGGCATCTTCCTAGGAGTAAATCAATTCTACTGTCTGGGGACATCCAGCAAATCTGAAGGAGCTGAATTTAGGTCTTCTAAATACCCTAACACCACATCTGTCATTCCACCCCTTCCAGCCCTCCACCTCAGTCCGACATTGTATAATGACTCTGTCTTCACAATCTGAAACTGAAATCAGCATCCTTGACCCTAGAATGTGAGACTGCAGGAATTGCCCTCTTCCATGTCACTACGATTCTGTCCCATTACCACCCATCATGTCACAGCCCATAAATTATTGAGCCAGGAAATACAGAACAGCAAACTATTCTCATCGCCTTTGGGAAGGGAGGGGGAAAAAAGCCCTAATTAAACTTCCCAGTGCATTTGTTGAATCCATGACTCTTGATTTCATCATCACATGCCAAAAAAAAAAAAAAAAAATTCCCTATTTATCTAAATAGCAAAACAGAATTCTTTGCCATCAAGGCTTGTTTTTGTTTTAATTCTGCATGCCCACGCCTATCTAAGGCTACAGATTCAAGGAAGAAGATCTTGCTTTGAAGGGCAAGGTTTTTTTTATAGAACTCCTTTACCTGTTCTTAACACATTCAAATGTACCTGGCTCACTTAATTCTAAGTGATTGCTAGAGTGGCAGTTCCACTTACAAATGCCACCATTATAGTCTCCACAGCTCTTCCGTGAAGCATAAGGTGTGAGTAAATTAAATGGCTGCAAGGGTAGCAGACGATACTTTCAATCACCTCCTATGCAGGCCCTCTCGGGCAACGAATAAAGAAGACCAGAGAACTGATGCGTTTAAACAATGGTGTTGGCAGAGAAGGTTAATACACTCGTGTCTGCAGGGAGGATGAGCGAATCAGTCTTGGAAGACGCACAGCCAGCTTAATCCTGAGACACCAGGACGATAGACCTCGTGGGGTGTACTTTAAACATGTTGTCAGGAGGGACCAGTCCCTCGATGAGGGCATCATGCTTGGTAAGCTAGAAGGTCAGCGAAGAAGGGAAAGATTACCAACAAGATGACTGGCCCAGTGATGGCAACATGGGGATTAAAATGACTAATGAATGCTAGCATACGTAGGATTGGACAACGTCAGGTTCAGTGAGGCGATTTTACTCAGACACGAGGCCACGTGATAGCAGAGAGATTTATTTAGCATTTGGGTGCAGGCAGGCTGAGGCTGAATAGTGCATAGAGCCCTTAAATACTGCAAAGAAATGAGAAATGGGTTTGACCCCTCTGGGGTGGGACATACTGGCTGAGGTTTCCTTGATGGATGGGCATCACAAGGCTCCAGGTCGCATTTTCGGTCAGCAGTGGCCGTGGTTAGCTGACTCTTGTGCGAACTTCACTGTCCTGGGTTCGCTGGTTCCTGATAAAGGCACATTCTTTCTCATGTTACAGGGTCAGCCTTGGCATGGAACTTTATAGGGTCAGTTCCGGAGCAAACATGGAGGAACTCCAGTTCTTAGCAGATTGGCTGAAGCCTTAAAAGAGAACATTTCATTTTATTGAGCATGGTCGGAGTCTCTATGAATCAGAGCCAAATGGATGGCCCGCACTAACAGCAACAAGGCTCGATTTCTGTTTCCATCCTTTTTGATGACATGAAAATCCAACAGTAAAGTGAATACTGAGCCTGAATGCCACAGAGAATGGCTAAACATTTATTTTTGGTAGGCTGTTAAAGACACATGATGACACAGATGGCAATGCACATACATGATTATGTACACGACTGGGGTCTATGACAGGTTCAAAGTCATGTGGGTCCTAAGTCTGATTGAATAAATGGAGGATTTTAAAAATTTCTTTATTTTCACTTATTTTAATTAGGAATCAAGTGCTAGACTTGGGGAGATCATAGGTGAGATGCTTCTGTCCTTCAAAAATTTATTTTAGCTTTATTCTTGAAACTTGTTCAACTTGAGTAATATAACTAAAACACTACATTTAGCATGGAATATATAGGATTTTCCACTTGCTCATTTACTGTGGAATCAACATCGTCCACCAAGAATAGACTGAGTTAGTGCTGATTTTAACAGTTTTTCGAATACTTGTAGATGCTGCCATCATCCATTTGAAAAATTACAGATTTTCCATCAAAATGCCCACCCTCTTGAATAAGCAAGTGGATCATAACTGATATTTTCACAGAATAAAAGTGATCAAAGGATGGTGGTACTCTATATCGTTATTTCTTTTTCTCCGAACTTTTCACATCACCTTTGTTTGAAAGACAGCATCATACTGCTTCTCACCAGGTTCATCTCCCTTGGTGCTCACTGACCTCAGTATGTGTTCACAAATTTTTTTTTTTAATCTTGGCTTCAAATAAATGTTTGTTGTTTCTTTCCAGAGTCTTATAAAGGAAAAGACGTAAAGGATCCGGCTTCCCTGAAGGAAAAAGGTAATGTTGTATAATGAAATGTGAAACCACATTTATCTGCCTAGTGCATCTTCAGTTATTTGCAACACAGCATTTTAGCATTTTTCCCCATAAACACTAGCGCTTTCACATTCCCTGATACATTTTCAGGAACGAAAAAAGATTTATGTTCCATCTTCAAATTTGAAATAGCACTAAGAAACAACATAGAAAAGAGAAAGTGTGTCAGACATACTGAACAAGATTTTTAAAATGCATCTTCTGACTCCCCAGTTCCCTAGTGGAATGGCGGAATCTATATTTTATAAATATCCCAAGAAGAAACTGTGCAATAGCTAAGGAGATGAAAGTTTAAGTGAATTACTTAAAATTCCTCAAGGATCCTTTGCAATTCTATACATTCAGATTTAGTTTAATCTGAAATTTTATAGTAAGAAGAAATTTAGAGACACGCTTTAGCTCCATCACTTCATTTTATAGATAACTAAAACTTAAAAGTCAAAATTCTTAAAGCTATTAATCTGTGGCAAAGTTAGCCATGGAATTTGCATTTCCTAACTCAATCACGGAGTTATTTCTAAAGCACCTTACTGCACCTCCCAACTTCTCAGGGTAATTGAGTTGGATTCTGGTAAATCATCATTGTTATGTCCTCTGGACCCAAAGTAAACATGCTTGTGCCAGATTTAACACATGCAGTCTATCATTGAAGTGCATTAGTGACGTACATTGTTATGTGCTGGACTCCTGCTAGCTGCAAGGTTGGTGGTTAGACCACCAAGGGCACCTCAGATCACAGACCATCCATCCCATGTCTAAAGGATCAGAGACTTGAGACTTCCATGGAGCCATTGCTGTGTGTCGGAATCGACTTAACAGCACCAAGCAGCAAAGCCACAACACTTCATAACGGATCGAAGCGCTTTCCGTGGGAATGGTGATGTGCTCAGAGTTGTGTGATATATCTCCTTGTCAAAATAACATTAACCTTTCCCATCGTGTTTATATCAATGTATTATTGAAACCACTGAAAACATGAAATATATGTGTAATTATTATAGTAAATGTTAAAAGTAGAGTCTGCTTCAACCAATAGCCCGTAGAAAAGATATGGATGAAATATTGACAAATGGAGGGGAATGCCAACTCGGTGGCATTTTCCATTGACTGCTAAAGGCGTCTGGTAAACTTTTATATCACATACTAGAGAGTTTGGAGAGATACGGGAGAGCCATGGGAGGGGAAAGCTGACAGAAGCATCAGTCAGAGAAATGAAGGATGCATGGAGAGTTCCCATTAGTCAGTGTAACAATGTAGAAAAACCATACCCTGAAGTCATATTTGTCTCACTTTGCAATTAATTTTAAATTAAGCAAAATTGTTATTTAATGAAACATAAGGACACAAGCCCCCCACCTCCACAGCCCACATATGTTCTTTATTTTAAGTGTTTAAAGCAAAATTGAATCAACATTTATGAAGACACATATTTTAGGGATTTTATTATATCTAAAACTTTACTTTTTCTAATCTCTTTGGTAGTAGCCTTGGTGCTATACACAGTAGAATATGTAAATTGGGATACTTTTCCTTACAAGATGATATCACATTTTAAATACTATGTAGGATGACTGATGCTGCTATATTTTCTCATTCAAAGATTGAATTTACTGTAAGGACTAATGGTATTCTCCAAGATTTATGTAAAAACTAATTTAAGTATATTTTAAGTATCTTTAACATAATGTCACTATTGCTTTGTTTAGATGTTTACGTAAGCATCTAAATTGAAATGGTTTGAGTTGCATGCTCTTAAATGATTTAATCATACTAAAATGTTACAATTCATTTAGCAATCTAAGACTGAAATCTAAAAATAAAAAACAAACAAGAATATTACCCATTTCTGCGTGTTCTACTAGGAAACACCATTTCATAAAACTATTTTTCCAGAGGAAATATTTGAAAAACATACACATGAATGAAAAACAGTTTGCATTCACACTAAAACATTTGTGTACATTTTAGTCTTCCATCGTGGGAGACATCGACCCAAGTATCACCTGGCTCTACTTCTTCTCTCCCGGGTAACCTCTCTCCCAAATTCCACATCTCAAGCCAAATGATCACACTAGCAGCAGACAATTGATGGTCAGAAATAGTAATTGTAGAGAATATAAAAGATGCATTATTTGAGTTAATTTTCATTGCACTGACACTGAATTTTTGGATGATTAAATATCTTCTTCCTAATTTTTAGTAACAAATATGGGTAAATAAAAATTTCTATAAAGGATCAATTAAACACAAAATCCCCTTCTATTATTCTTTTTAAAATTAAGGCTTCAAATAACTGTGTCAGGATATTTCATTAGTATTTTTGTTTTCCCATTTAAAGTGTTATTGATCTCTTGTAGTAAGTCACTTAAAATAAATATGCTTTAAAGTCTTGGATTTACTATTTTGCATCTTCCTCTTACTTCTATTTCCACCTCTTCTGCAAACAAACACCAGAATTCAGACCTTTGGTACTCAGAGCGAATGTCAGAGTACATTCTGTCAAGAAGAGTCCAGTTCAGATATGCAGAGTGACAAGGAGCGTCCCAGAGAGAGATGATCCATCACGCTTTCTTTAACTACAGGAGTGAGCGCTGTCTCACACACATCACTGGCATTTTGAACAAATTTAGTAACAAATCAATTTTAAAAGAGAGTTTCAGAATTTTGTTTTCTGTAAATCTACTTTAAAAAGTTAACATTTCTTTTTATAATAATTAGCAGAATCCTTAAAATACTCCATTGAATTTCTAATAAAGGAACACTAGACCGAATGTGTACTTAAATAAGAAACTTATAAACTTTAAGTAATTTTATAATATTTAAATAGCTATAACATATTCCAAATACGGGTAGAATCATTTTCTCATCAAAGATCTTAAACCTGGCTATGCACAAATGTCTGCTACTGAGTTAGAAAAAATGTTCTACAAGTTAGAAAATAGGTTCAGCGCTATCAAGACAGGTTCCAACAATAATTCTGTGACTGGAGTTTATCTTATTTAAGGCTTAGTTTTTATAAAAATTGTCAGTGTATTTTTAAGCTTTGACACCTCTTCTTTGTTCCAAAATCTTAGAATGATATTATAAACTATTAATTGATTGTTTAAAAAGATAACCACACGCACTATTAGGGGATATATATATATGTATGTGTGTGTGTGTGTGTGTATATATATATATATATATATATATATATATATATATCCACTTATCTGTCAGTTTGTCATCCTGCGGTTGTTGCTTACTGTAATGTTGCTATGCCACCAGTATTTAAAATGCCAACAGTGTCATCCATGGTGAATAGGTTTTAGTGGAGTTTCCAGATTAAGAACAGACTATGTAGAAATGGGGGGTTGCCCACTTCTGAGGGATTAGCCAATGACAAACCCATGAATGGCAATGCATCATTATCTGATATACTGCCAGAAGATGAGCTCCTTATGTTGGAAGGTTCTAGAAATATGGTAGGAGAAGGGCTGCTTCCTCAAAGTGGAGTTGACCTTAAGATAGATATGGAGCAAAGCTTTTGGAACTTTCATTTGCTTCTGGAAAAGGCTCAAAATGAGAAAAGATGTATGGAAACACATGCAACATTTGACTGAAACATAACAAGAATCGGGAGAATGGCACGAGACCGGGCAGTGTTTCACTCACAGCAATGTAGGGGTGACTCAAAACCAACTTGACAGCACAGAATAATAATAATAACACACATATATAATTACCAGTACTACTACCACTAATAGTAGTATTGTGTGTATTTATGCAAAGAGCTTCCAAAAGTTCATGGAAAATGTGTGAAAAGATAATGATTTTTCCCCTACAGGCTATTTATAGCTATAAAAGACAAGAAACACAAAGAACTGAGTCAGAGAAATCTGTGGATTCTGATTTGAAGCAGTAGATTTGGCCGGGAATTTAGTGCCTATTGGGCTAAGGAATTAAAGTGGATTGCAAGAATTTTGAGCAAATCTCACATTATTTAACTAAGGGTTAAGTCACTGTATGATAACACTTATAATAAATAAAGGTTTTGTTTAAAAAAAGAAAGAAACCCCTAATTTATAACATAAATGGAAAAATCATAAACAGAAGACTCTTATTTGGATCAGGTACATTGTAGAGGAATCACCTTGACTGGATCTGTGGGAAGAAATGATGAGGAAGCTCAATACCATCCATCTAGGAAAAATCCAGGGATTGACTGCGGACAACTTGCTCATGTGCAAGTTCAAATTGAAGATGAAGAAAATAAAGGAAACACTACAAGATCGAGACTATAAGTTTGAGTACATTTGCTTGAATTAAGAGACAAATTAAAAAACAGATGATAACAACATCGGGACATTATAGAGGAAGAAAGTGAAAAGTCATTGGCCGGCAGGAAAGAAAAAATAGACATGAATGAATGTAATAAAAGACTGAAACTGACTGGACAGTACAGAGTGTTTGGGAGACATGGAGAATGAAAAGAGCTGAAGATAACCTTCCCAGGGGAAGCTTGATAAGACCAAGTATAGGATTATAAGGAACCATGCAAATCCATGGAGTTATACCAAAAAAATCAAAGGGAAAAAATAAGCAGATTGTTTGGCATTTTTCATGCTGAAAGAACTGAGGTGAAAATTCAGTCTTCAAGTTGCATTGCTGAAGAATTAGCAAAAATTTTGAATGAGGCCACATGTGCAGAGTCACTGTAACAATCCAATGTAGTCAGTGTGCAACCAAATCATAGGTAGCATATGATGATGAAACGCCGGGAATGAAAGAAAAAGTCGAAGCTGCACTGACGGCACTGCTGGAATCAAGGCTCCAGAAATGAGTAGGACACCAGTTGAGATGCTACAAAAATGGATGCGACGCTCTAATACTTACTTACTACGTCAAAGAATTTAGGAATAGATATTTGGCAAACCGACTGGAATAAATTAATATTCATCCCCATCCAATGAAAGACAATA